AATAATCTTCCATTCTTGTTTGTATTTGTTCTCGAGAACTTTTATTAGAAATTTCACTTTCAACTTCTTGACGTTCCAATTTACATCTCTTTTGTTTATTTTTATCATTATAATCAACATATGTTATTCTTATACATCTTTTATTTATGTTTATAATAATAACGTAATTAATTAATTAATGCAAAAAATTGCTATATGACGTTACACGCGCATATTGTTATGTAGGCTTTAGAGCAATTATTAAAGAAATTTACACATCGGATTGTTTTTCAAAATAATCAATTTTATTTTATTTCTAATTGACAAAATCCTAGAAAATCTAGAAGTATGAAAGTTGTTTATACACATGATCTCCAGAAATTTCGTTACAAATTTGATGTCGTTATTATCTTCTACCATTTGAAATTTAATTTATTTTCAACATAATTTACGAATACTTTCTATGAAAGATATATATTTCCTTTCCAACTTTTTTTAGCCTTTCATTTTTCTGCGATGTTGAACTTAAATCATTAAAGACTTTAACTTGGTTGAGTTGTTAGAAGAGTTAGAGGATAAACTTGCATTAGCAGAAGAATTAGGACTCGTAGAAGATGATAAGGAATGAAAAAAGTCTTTTTTTTTTTTTGTTACCATAATTATAAATAAAGTTTAAAATATATTGTGCATAGCAAATATTACATAGATACTTGCCAACTTCTAACCTAATACCATTATCTTTACATTTGATCAAGGCATCTTCAGTTACCCTTCTCCACTTTGTTGATTGGGTATTATGACATAAATGACAAATTCTTTCTTGCTCTTTTGTTTTTCTCATTTTTAGAAGTCAATAGTGTCCTAACTAAAAATGTACTAATCTTCAAAATGTGATTATTCTTGACCAGTCTATTTTGAAATGGGATTACCAAAGTAGTGAGTAATATGAATATAGATGAACAAGTTTGCTTAGGTGCACAAGTGTGACTGTTATACGCATGTGTGTGTGGTGAAATATGGCGGTACGCAGAATATGTGCAAATCAAAAGCCATAGAAGTAGATGATTGGCATATTTTTAATAATAAAAAACAGGGTTAATATTTGGGGTTTGTACTATATATATATTAAAAAACGAAGATGATTAGAGATTTACAAAAACATAAAAATGTAATTACTGGATGAATAATGATACCTTACCCCAACACGCATCAAAGATATAATAAGTTTCTCTACAATTTGCAAATTATTGATTGATAAGGGTAGTTTAACTTTTTGAAGCAAACCTAGACGCCAAACTCCTCTTGTTTTCCAATCCAACCCATATATGTTAAAATTATAATCTCAAATCAAATAGATTGTGTTATACAATAGGAATGAACTTACTAAATGTGTATATTCTGAGAATAAAAAGATTGTGAAACTTGTTTGGATCTATGCAATTGTTTTTATTCCTTTGTTTATCAACACATCTTGTAATGCAACTGCTAGATCAACTTTGTCCATCCATTTTTTACTTTTTGGTGCCAAGGGAAGACCACCAGGTCTTAATCCAATTAACATTTCAAATTGATCCTAAATCCATCTTTTGTACAATTAAGCTTCCGTCAGTGGGCTTGGTTTTCATGTTGGTGATTACTGATGAAGCAAGACCTTGAATTTCTCCTCTGTGCATTGCAAATT